ACAGGACAGCTAACACCTGAGAAGGAGCTATTTCCTTTCTTTACTCCTGTCTCTTCTTGATCCTTTTTTCATATTCCTGACACTCTGGGACCTTGAAGTCTCACATTCATAGAGAAGAAAATCTAAATGATAAAACTACTGCTTAACCTCACACTCTTTCCCACTGTCACAGAGTATATAAATTTAATGGACACAGCTAAATTTACTTTATAGCAAAGATTTGACATTATTGAAGATATTTTAATAATATGCCACAATCTCTGAAGTGAATTCCAGAGGTGTATTTCTGACATTTATAAATAAAAGTGACATTGTAGAATAAATACATAATTCTAAGTGACCAGGATGGAAACTATTTTTACGTAAAAGTTCAAGTTTACTCGTTAATTACATAAATTATAGGTCTCCCAATTACACCTCACATAGGAAGCAGCAAACTCAAGTGTATATGGGGAAGGCTTGATACTAATGTGTTCAGGTTTGTGGAACTTGCACTAATAGTGTTTTTAGTGGTACCCTGATGGTCCTTGAAAATGAGCTGTTAGGCTGATTATGATATAGAGGAGGGGACAACGCTATAGTCCATGGCAGATAGAATTATATGTGAATAATCAATGCCAATAACTCTTAGAAATTATTTTTATCTTGCCTTACCTTGTTATGATCAACATTAAGTAACATCAGTCGAAGATTCTGAGGACTGGTGCCAGTGAAGTAAACCTCATAAGATTTGTTCAGAGCTACAATGCTATGAAATAGGGACAGTCTTCTCTGGCACGTGTATCCAGCACACCAGCCATGATCCTGTGGGCCTAAATCCACACAAAAAACAAAGTTCACGTTCTCATATTGTGAACATTATCAGCACATCTGAAGGGTAATTGTATTCAAAATAAATTTCAGTAGTCAATGTCAGCAACTGTACCCATTATGTTAACCCAGGTATGAATCCATCCAAGCTATTTCTCAAACATTGGTTTATTAAAAAAAAAAAAAAAAAAAATACCGGGAAGCAACTTCTCCCTATGACCCTTAGTTTTACTAAAAGCCCAAGCTAAGAAGAGTAAAGTAACGCACCAGTGAGGATTTATATGGAAGGTCATTGAGGGAAATAGTAGGTTTACATGTATCTCTAATAATAATTTTTTAAAAAAATTTTATTATGATTTGGGTGAAAGTATACAAAGAAAATTAATTTTCCATACAGCAGTTCACATACACTTTGTCTCATGACATTGACTACAATTTACCACAATGCAACAACTCTCTTACCACTTCCTCCCTGTAGTTACCTCTTCCCTGTGTCCTTCCCTCCTGGCCCCTGAGCTGTCTCCTGTGTATGAACAGCCCTTCTTTTCTCCCTTGATTGAGATCTCCAAGGAATATATATACCTTGACTGCTAACCAGAAGGCTGGCGGTTCAAACCCACCAGCCACTCCTCGGAAGGAAGTTTGGGCAATCCTACTTCTGTAGTGATACTGCCTCAGAAACCCAAGGAGGGGTCGCTATGAGTCGGGGCCGACTCAACGGCACATAACAACAA